TTTGCATCCCAATCACCACTAATGATCAATACATCTTGATTGCATATTTGATCAGTTTCATATTGAAGAAGTTGGTAGAATTCTTCTATTTCACCCTCACTGGCTTTAGTGGTTGGTGCATAAATTTGAATAATAGTAGTATTAATTTGTCTTCCGTGTAGGTGCATCAGTATTATTCTGTCACAGACAACATTGTACCTTATATCTGATCTGGATATGTTCTTTTTGACAATGAAAACACCATTCCTTTTCAAGTTGTCATTCCCTGCATAGTTAACCATGTGGTTGTCCGATTCAAAATGGCCAATACCAGTCCATTTCAGCTCACTAATGCCTAAGTTATCGATGTTTATGCGTTCCATTTCATTTTTGACAATTTCCAATTTTCCTAGATTCCTACTTGGTACATTCCATTTTACAATTATTAATGGATGTTTACAGCTGGTTCTCTTCATTTTAAGTTGTGCTCTATCAGCAACAGAAGGTCCTGTGGGCTTTACTCCCATGGGCTTTACTACATTCGCATCATCACTGTCAACTCTACTTTGAGGAGGCAGCTCTTCCCCAGTCGCATTTTGAGTGCCTTCCAACCTGAGGGACTTATTTTCTGGCACTATATCTCACAGTGTTTTGCTGCTATTCATAAACTTTTCAGTAACTAAATATTAGAAAGTAGTTTGTCACTCTGTCTTCCTAGTCTGTCTTCATCTGGAAGCTCATCTGAAACCTGTCTACCATTGGTGACCCTGCTGATGTTTCAAATACCCGTGACATAACTTCCAGAATCACAGCAACTCACAAGCCACGACAATATGACAAATTGACAGACGAGTGGTGGACCTCTCAACAGTTAACATTTTTTTTTTTCAGTTGTGTTAAATTCTCTTTTGCTGTGTCTCACAAATTGCAAGGAAGACCTTGTAAGCATCCTTCCTAGTCCTGATGTGGTGCTATAGGACAATCACCTAACTACTAACTCCAGGGTCAGTGGTTCAAACCATCAGTCAGTCAATCCTTAGAAAATATGTAGGGTCAGTATGAATCAGAACAAAATCATTGGCAGTTAACAACAATATCACTAAAGCCCCTCTCACAGTGCTTCAAAGGAGAGGGAAGTATTCACTTTCCTACCTGATTCAATAGGCAAGGTGATGAAGAATGCCATAACACTCCAACACATTTCTCAAAAGAATTTAGCTCCCAATTACTTTCTTCCTTCTCTCAGTTTCTCAAATTTGTTTTACAGACTAGAATTAAGAGATCATCTAGTGATTACCCAAACTAGTTTTAACCACCTTCTTTGCAAGTTCTGCACCTCTCTTTAAAATATGAGATACTTTAGAATGATCTTTTGCTTCTATCATTTTAGACAAAAGTTGGACAAATTTCTAAAGTTTGCCAAAGTAAATTTATTTATATAATTGTAATTACTTTGTTGTTGTTTCTAGATGATATCAAGTCAGTTCTGACTCAAAGCCACTGTGCACAAGAGAACAAAACACTGCCCAATCCTACACCATGCTCACCATTGTTGCTCTGCCTGAGCCCATTGCAGCTGTCATTGTGTAAATCCATTTTGTTGGAGGGTCTTTCTCTTTTTCATTGACCTCATCCCACCCCCAATTTACCAAGCATCATGTCCTTCTCCAGGGATTTGACTGTACTTCAACACAGATTTGTTTCTTCTTCCAGCAGTCCATGGTACCTTCAATATTTTTCTGAAATATCATAACTCAAATATGTCAGTTCTTCCTTATTCACTGCCCA